GTGTATTAACTGGGTTAATACTAAAAATCAGTGCCGGTAGAGATACATTTTACAGACAAGACGTTCAGTTATTTGGTGTCAGAATCACTGTCAGTCGATAAGTCAGTCAGTCAGTTGCAACGTAGAACTTCGTACGCATGTACATAAGTTCAGGTTGCTATACCACGCTAGCACAGATGTCAAATCAAATCCCATAGTGATAAAGATAGTAGAGGTATTAGTGGTAACGAAGAAAACTAGGGTTTGAAGATATTATTCAAGAATAACAATTCAGTGAGATAAGGTTAGAAAGACAAAGGTAGAGGTGCTGACGAATCCAGAAGATTAGGATTTGAGAGAGCACAACGAATGGACGCACTTGCGCTACTGCAAACGATTTTGAGCCATCTCGTTCAAGGTCTCTAACCATTGGTGACTTTCGTCTCGCGGACCCCAACCAGGTAGTCTACATCTACCAACATCACTCAGTCCACTTGTCAGTGACTTCATGGATTTCTGCCATGTTTTGGTCTGGCCACCCCTAACTTTCTTCCAACCTACTCCTACACCACAAAACATAGCTCGTCGAGGCAGTCGGTGGTTAGGCATTCAAGCACGGAAAACAAACGAGCAACCTGGGGTGACGGGAAGGAGGCAGATTAAAGTTCATTGACCTGCATCCCGCAGTTTATTATAGCTATATACCACCTCGAAACGTTGTTGCCAGCATAACATATATTAAAAGACATTATTAATGATATTGAAACATAGTAAAATGGTGATAGATTAATAACAGACTCACCGTAATTGACTTCTTTGAACTAAACGTCAGCTCACCAATTTTAGTGGCTATTGAGTCGTGATTGACTATGATCATTACTACAGCAACTACTAGCCCGTCACTGAGAAGAAGAGTTATTCCACAGTAAAGAATATATTTGCTGGCGATTTCGTGGTATCGAAAGAATACCGAAATCGTACCAGAAAAGTGTGACGAAATTACAGTGACAGTGAAGCCAAAAATGCAGTAACACAAACGGAAACTTTGCGCGGAAGGAAGTGGTATAAATAAAGAGGTTCAATAAAAAAATTGCCGGCAAAATTGGTTATAATGATGAATATTTCTATCAAAATAATCGCGTTCTTTTTATGAAAGTGGATTCACTGCACATGTACTCCAGAGGTTCAACACTCTCTTCGCACACCAATTAAAGCTATTTTCTAATTCTCTTCAAAGTTAAGACCCTTTGAAAAAGGACTAGCGGTTTGAAATGAGTATCTGGGTTAATAGAACCCACTAAAACTTACCGTTGATAAGAAAACACTAAATACAATGGAAAATTTACATTTGGCTACGAAATGTAAGGCGATATACAGTTATTGAAGATAACACATCAGCAAAAATGCCTCATCGAGTTTTTCCTGTAAGTCCGAGTCCGGGAGTACAACAAAATCAAGACAGCCTGTAAAGGAGTAAACCATATCGATGCACCCGGATATCGAATGACCGCCTTCACCTCAGCAGATCAAGGTCGTGCTGATGGGAGGTGCTTTTAATTTGGAACCGTACAGAAAGAACAAGAATCGAGCGCAAAGATCATTTGGGTTATACTAGCTCGTGAAAAAGGTATTGGATATTGGTGCCTGGAGGTACTTAACGCATTTAAAACCTTAGTATACTAAATTCTAGTTTCAATCATCAGTTTGATCTAATTTCATGCTCATGTTATTTCTGATTGCTGTTGAATGCTTTCTCTATTAAATATAAGTACATTATATGTGCTCACTGCGTCATCGGCTCACTTTTCATCATGTTCTTTCTTCCTACGGTAAACCTCTAACACTGCTGCGCACACTCCCCCAGATCACGAGGTACCTTCTGATTAAACGTAGAATTACCAAAGGCTAAAGTTATTGATGACTCATCTCGACGCTGTTACGTCAAATATGTGTAACGTAGCTTATGCTGACGGTTCTTTTAATGTCCACTCAATCAATACGTTAGCTGAATCTTTTGACTTCTAGTGTTCCCAAGCTCAATCTTCTGAATTAACACTTCAAAAAAGTTCCTGGTCTCTGAACACTAAACCATTAACAGTGGCGATTGCCACCCCGCTGTGAAACGCTTGTCCAAACTCCATAAAACAAGTACAAGAAAGCGATTTTCCACGCCTAATTGTCTAGAGGTTCTTTCATAGATAGTCTTCATCCAAGCATTCTAATAGTTAACTTTAAAAGATAGACTAATTAGCCTATTTAGTTTGAAGAAACGTAGGAACAATTCTGATATTGATTTGCAAATCTAAGTTCATATACGGTTTGTCTTAGACCTAATTTTATAAACTCATTTATTTTTGTGTGGTTTGGTGAATACAAGTATATTCTTATCAAATCTGGATCACTTTTTCTGCTTCAGATTTTTTTCTTGCCCAATCAACATACACGCTTCTTTAAAACTCCTACTCTTATGGACTAAATTAAATATATTAACAACTGGAGTTCACATATGAGATCCAAAGCGAATTACTTTGGTATGATAAAGATTATCCGATGAATGTAAGCCCAATGACATTTTGTTTCATTTCATTGTCAAAAACTTGAATCTTATCTTGTTGCTATGATGCTAGTGCCACATTTTCTCTGGGAGGGGATCTATTTGTGGTTTTTACATGAAATATGATTCCGAGCACTCTGGGCGATGTGTTACATTTGTATGTCATACGTAAATCGTGTACGAAGTCGGTCGGTCAAAAACATTCAGCACTTTATTACGTCGTTATTAGTTTACGCCTTCTGTTTTTTAGGACACACATACATAATTTATTCGTTTGGCTTAACTTAAGGTAGCTAACGCGTGACCTAATATTAGTATGGTTTATACTCGGTCTGCGCTTAAGGACCTCATATGACTAAGTATAATTACACTGCTTAGACTATTTCTGGTTGATAATGTTTTATCTCTGTTATCTTATTCCTCGTACATACCGATAAATCCGTCGACCTTATTTTATCCATAGAAGGCTCAACAACTTTTCTTTGACTAAACGTGGAAAGTATGGATTTATTCACTCTAAAAGTTTGCCGTTTACCTAGGTTCTCATACTGAGTTACCAATTAGCTAGCGATTTTTAAGTGTTATTCATACATAGACTTAGCTGTAATCTTAAACATAGCACTTCTACTGGACGTTTTCCAATCATGAAAACCCTACTGGAACATTTATAAAAGTGAGTATGTTCTAGTCCGTTTTGTTACCTAAGTCTGTCAGTTGAAGTGTCGAACTTGGCTCGTATGGATATCAGTCCAAGTTGCCAATACCAGAACACTACAGAGAGGTGAAATTTTCAGTTCAAGCCCCATAAAAGTAGAAGTAGTAGAAGTATTATTGGTAATGGAAAAAATTAGGAGTCGAAGATATGATTCCAGAATTAATAAAAGGTCATGAGAAATTTAGATTAGATTTAGGAGGAAGAAAAATGGGGCGTCTGTGCCATTACAAATGATTTTGAGTCATTTCATCCAGAGTATGTATTCACCGGTTACGATTATCACACGTACCTTAACCAGGTAGTCTACACCTACTAACATGGTTCAGTACAGTTGCTAGTAACTTCATGTTTTTGTGCCATGTTTTGGTTTGGCTGCCCGTAGCTTTCTTCCAGCTTACACCCTAAATCAGACAACATCGCTCGTCGAGCCAGTTGGTGGTTTGGCATACATAACACATGTCCCAACCACCTCAACTGTCGGAGATTCACTACTTCATCACTTAATTTGCCATCCTCGTCTAGTACCCTATTCCTAACCCAAATACCTCTATTCTTAATGGCCATGTTTCATAGCCGTGGAGTGGATGGAGTGAACTGCGGCACACTTTAGTTAGCAGACAGATATCTTGTCTACGCCACAAGTGACGCAACGTGGCAAAGCCAGTCGAGACTTCTGTATCTGTACCGAGATTTTATCAGTCACCAGATCATCAGGACTGATGAAACTCTCAAAATAATTGAGATGGTCTACACTAATTATTTAGACGTAAACTATGGTTTACACTAAAGCGAAGTAAATTTAGTTCATGTTTGGCATATTTTAGTGTATCAGAGTTTTAGATGTACTCTCTCACAGTTCTCTCAATCCATTTGGCACCGCATACTAATTTCTTCTGCCTCTTCTTAGTTGCGATATGTTGTGTGTATTAATGCGATCAAAGTCGATAGCTAGAGTGACACTCGTGTTGAAATCAATTTTAAAACAATAACTCATGATTTTAAATTTCCTCATTATCGTACAACACATAATAGATAGTTTATTAACAGTCCTGTGTTTGTAAGGTACCTTTTTTAATCGTTGGGCAACTGTTCTTACGCTTTTGTCGTTTATCTTTATTTGTCAGGCAATGATTTTAGCTTGTGAGTCTGTGCATTAAAGTTAAAGAAAGTTCAATGTGTGATGGATTTCACATAAAAATGAGTTGAATATTGTTGTAGTCACATGTCCATCATTTCATTGACAACAGGGAGTGCGTTGTTAGGTCAAACAGGTATTTGTTTTCTATGCGTAGTTAGAATTGTAGAAAGCAACTGCTTGATAACAGGTTAATCTTATAAGCTGCTAATGAGTCCCACACCTGGACGAAGCGGCCGTCCAATGCTTATAGGTTTCTATTGGTGGTCTAACAATGATTGATTGGTTTATTCAGTGTGTAAAAACACTGATCTCCATAACTTTAATTTAAAAAAAATCTTACTAAACCTGCGTACTTCTGTTTGAGACTGAGTAGTATCATTAGCTCTCACACCAAAAATGTGGCCCATATCTAAGTACCTGCAGAATGAATCCGTTTAATAATTACTTACCAAACTCAGTATTATTCGTTGTGCGATTTTATTGGTTACTCACTACACTTGCATTTACTTATTTATACGAATAATAATCACAGGAACTATTGATTTGTCTTTTAATTAGCTGTGCTTCTGATTCTTTTAGGTCATTTGTCAAACGTAAGAATATTTCTATCTGTAATCTAAACAATAATTTTCAAGATTCAAACAATACTCACACGATATTATTGGTTTCATATGACAATCAAAAGCAATTATCTATGCGTAAATAAACATGAATACCACATAACTTCATTGTCTTCAGTCTTAATGTTTTATTTTTTAACACACTCTAATTTCTGCTCAGAAAATTAATCTTGGAAAAGCTCTCTTATTTTCCAAACCAGTAACGGAAATAGGGTGACATGATCCACTTCCCTTACCAATTGAAACCCTTGACGCTTGTGGTGGAGATCTAAAGAAGTTTTTTTGGTGATGATAGAAATACTCTACACCTAGAAAACCTGAAATCGTGTATGATAACAGTATTATTTTGGTATGTGATAAAATAAACTTTTTACTAATCACAATCATTTGTTTAACAGTTAGTTAGTGCCTAAGCAAGTTTGTTAAGATCCTGTTTGTACTCTCTGTCTGTGGTGAATGGTTCAAAGTAGTTGAAAACTACATAGTTCTGGGTAGTTGGTTACCAAAGATATTCTCTGTGTAAAACCTGTCTATACCTCAGTGGCTCATTTGTAGCGTGTTACTACAAACACACATAGATCGCTTCCTTTTTAAGTAGTACTATTTAACATAAATGCAATTCAACGGAATTGTCATCATTTTCATTCCTCATACTTTCTCCTAATGTCATTTTATTTTTCATGGAGCGTCTCTTTGTGTTTATGTTTCATCAAGCTTTTATACTCGGAATAGATAACGCATTCGTATTAATAATGATTTATTAAGTTAAAATTGGCAATACAGTTATCTCAATCATATTCGTCTTGTATATTTCCTTCTGTTTTTGTTAAGTAAACCACCTTTCAAAATATAGTTTGTTTTTTGTAAGTATTTAAGTAGCTTTTGTTATCCAGTGGTTTACTTTCGTGTTTCACGGGACTAGAAATGAATATCTACGATAATATACAAGTATGAGCTGGTTTAAAGCTTCTATGCCCATCTTAATTTTTTAAATGTTACTACTGGGAGTTGAAGATGATTTCGAGTACTGGGATGAAAGTAATGCTTTCTTGGAATGTCAGGCTTTGTATTGCACTTTGAAAGAACAGTAACGTGATAATGCTCCTGACTATTAACTGAGTCTTTTACTGAGTATTTTGTTCTCGATTTACCAGTCAATAAATTTGAATACCTCTTATATACCCTTTTTCGAAACCAGTCAGCATTGTCATCTCACAAAAGTAGCTGATAATTTAGTTTCTGAACTCGCATTGGGTTGTGTTAAGTAACTGCATTTCTCTCTTGTTGATGCAAATTACGTAAAATCCTTTGTAATTTCCCAAAGTTAAGCTTTTTCTGGTTAATCTTTTCATTTTATTTCAAAACCATAGATATCATGGCAAATAGTGAAAACACTGGATTGTCAAAAGTTACAGTTGCTGGAACTGTTTTTGGCACTGGATATTTGAGCTACGGGCGTATAGACAAGCGTACCTTTCTAAGTGCCCTCCTAGGTGCCGGATTAGGATTCGCACTAGGTGTTTTTTCACATGGTCTGTTGAATGGCTTATTGCTGTTCTTGAGACGTGATAAACAGAGTGAACAGTTACGTCATGTGACTGAACAATTAGCTAGTGTTAGAGCGGAATTATTGGAATTGCGTAATGAATTATATAATACTAACACAAAGCGTTTGGACAGCAAAGATAATGTAAGTATTTTTTACGTTGTCTTTATTCACATACTATCGTCTCTGTAAGATAACTGTGTTCAGATAAGATCATTTTTTATTGTGCATGGTATTCGCTGGTATGTGAGTTTACAGTTAAAGTTTTCTAAATTTGTAAATACATGTCAAAAACTGCCATTTATTGGGATAAAGGTTCTTACTTCATCATAAGTATACTAATTTATCATTGAGCTAGCAAATCCCATAGTCAAAGCAACCAACGTAAGTCAGTTGTGTAATTTATATTTATGTTGGTAGCCTTAATAGTAAAGAAATATTTAGCCCTACCAAATCGTCCTCTTTTCGATGTAGGTATATCTGTTTACAATAACCCTTTTTCACATGCCACGTTAATATTTACAGCTAAACAACTCTTAGTCGATTGCTCACTGAGTTTCCGGGGAGGGGGAACTGTCCAATAGTGTTTCCTTACAAATGAGGAGCAAAAGAAACGGTTCATCGTCTAACACTTAAGATACTAAAAATGAGTTCACTGACAGATACATTGTTCAGTTCATCTGCGAAGACCAGGTTTTTCACTGTCGTATAATAAAACAGCTTACGTAGTGTTCTGTATTTAGAAATATTAAAACAAAGTCTTATTTAAATGTAGCCTTATTAGTATATTGCTTACTTAACTATCATCGCCATATATTGCACTTAAAATTCATCAGTTAGCTAGGCTTGTTTTGATTCGTGGTATTGTTTTACATTCGGATAAAGATATTTTGTTCGTCAAAAATTTTTGAAAATAAATATTCACTGGAAACGTAATTAGTTCCTCTAATTCATTCTTATTTTAACCGGTGAGTCCTCAATTTTTTTTTTTACCAGAAAATCTATCATCTAAACTCGTGTTACCCTTTGTTGAGCACAGGCCAGCGACCAGAAATCTCCAACCAATTATTTTTTGGGCTTTCCTTCTCAGTTGCTATTCTGTCTTTTGATGTCTCCCTCCGGTTTCCGACACGATGTCTTCTTTTTTATTCCATTTTTCCTTTCGCATTAACGTTCCGAAGTCAGGGCTTGCCTTACAGTCAGTCAGTCAGTTGCAACGTAGAACTTCGTACGTAAGTACATCAGTTCATGTCGTCATACCACATCAGCACAGAGATATAATTGTCAATTCAAATCCAATAGTAGAAGAGGTAGTAAAGGTATCACAAGTAATCGGAGAGGTTAGAATTAGAAGATATTATTCACGAAGTATGATTCAATGAGATAAGTTTAGAAAGTAGAAACTAGAGGTGTTGAAGCCCGACCGTAGCTGCTACCTTGACGTGGTGGTCGGGCTTGCCTATCGTCATGACCCAACCGAGCTATACTGGCTGGAACATATGTTCCTCAAGGTTCTACCATGCCAGGCAGGTCGATTGGAGAACGATGAGACTAAAAGCAGCTACCCAAGGTCTGAGGGCGAAGTCGTACTGCTGACTGCAGAGGGGTGTGACAGCAGTAAGGTGTTTCCCTCGGACAACCAGCATCTGCAGCGATGCTGCCTTCTCACAAGGAAGGAAGGGTTAGAAAAGGTCGACCCTAAAAATGTCACACCTCCCCTAACTCACGGATTTCCGTCTCCTTGGGTAAGGGTGCCCACTAAGGGCCTTTAAGAACGGAGCTAATCCTCAAAAAACATTTCATAAAAAGGCCGTGCGTGACCGGCCTCAAGCAGTTGTCCCTTGGGCTCTGCGGTCACGCACCAACACTAATCTATCTTCCTTTTCAGGTTCCTCAAGAAACAACCTTCCACGGTGTGGGCAGCCGGGAAGTGACAACCGCCCTCATACCCATAACAGCACGCGAGACCGAATTGGTCAAAATCAAATCCTTCCTACACCCCCTAGTACCTCTCTTATCTCCACGACTAACTCTTCTCACATTCATTCATCACAGTGCACAGCTAATGCAGACGATACGAGTTCGCGAAACGTCGTTCCTGGTCTCCTTAAACCTCGCTCTAGACTACATGTTGGAGCATTTAATGTACGGACATTGTATCAAATAGGGCAACAGGCTTCCTTAGCTAAGACCTTAGAATCTCGTGCCATCGATGTATGCTGCGTCTCGGAAACGCGCATACAGGATCCGAGTCACGTCATACACTTGACCACACCATGTCAAAATAAAGAAGCAGCTCGATTTACTCTTCGTGTATCCGGTAGCCCTGATGCTGCTTCCAGGGGTCTTGCTGGCGTAGGCATAGCATTGAGTCGTAGGGCAGAACAATCTCTCCTTGACTGGATCCCTATAGATAGTCGATTGTGCGCTGTCCGACTAAACGGGACAGTAAGGACTCGGAAAGATAGGGACAATCGCCGTTGCCTCTTCGTCGTATCTGCCTATGCCCCCACTGAATGCAGTTCAGACGAGGTTAAGGATGAGTTTTACAGAAAGCTTTCGGACCTCCTCCAAAAAGCTAGGCGCTCTGATATTGTAATCATGGCTGGTGACTTTAATGCTCAAGTAGGTAGACTAAGTGAGCAGGAGAGACACCTAGGTGGATGTTATGGTGTCGCGGCTCAGAGAACAGACAATGGTGACCGTCTGCTGCAAGCATGCTCAGACAACCGCCTATTCTTAGCAAACACTAACTTTAGGCATAAGGAAAAGCATCTGTTGACCTGGCGACCTCCAAAGTCGTCTCAACGTTGGACTCAACTAGATCACATCGCCATCAGCCACCGATGGAGGGGTTCGATAGAGGACTGTCGCTCGTTCTGGAGCACATGTCTAGATTCAGATCATGCCCTAGTGCGAGCGCGTATTTGTTTGAAGCTTACTGGGCGTAGGAAAGACACCGTAAGTAAGCCTCTTAGGGTTTTACTTAATGATAATAAGGCGAAAAATATATTTCAGGAACAACTAGAAAGACAGTTAGGCGACCATTTAAGCGATTCCCATCCAGAAGCAGGATGGAATGATATCAAAAAGGCTGTGGAAACAGCAGTGATATCTGCTAGTAAGGTTGACCATAAGGCTAGAATGAAACCGTGGATCTCAGTAGCATCCACCGAACTGATGGATGCCCGAAAACTCATCCCACCTGGCTCTGAACATGATGAAGAACGAAGTCAACTTAGGCGCAGACTTATGAAAAGCCTACGTAACGATCGCGAAGAGTGGTGGGTGGCGAAAGCAAAAGCGATGGAAAAGGCAGCGGCGATCGGCAACAGTAGACAACTTTTCCGACTTATCAAGGAAACTGGTATTAGGAATCCTAGTGTAAGTGAGACTATCTCAGAAAATGACGGGACTATTATTTATTCTCAATCCAGGAGACTGGATCAATGGGCAGAACACTTTAGGGATCAGTTCAACTGGCCTCGAGCCACTCTTCAGTTGCCCACGATCTCCAGTCATCCTGAATGGCAAATCGACGTAAGTCCCCCTAGTCTTAATGAAGTTGAAAAAGCGTTAGGAAATCTGAAGCGAGGACGAGCTGCAGGTCCTGATAGACTGACCCCTGAGATATTTAAGAATGGTGGTACAGTTTTAGCAGCTAGGTTGACTGAGATCTTAGGTAGAATCTGGGAACTGGACGTAATCCCATCCGACTGGTCTCAATCACTGATTGTCCCAATCTATAAGAAAGGACAGAAGTCTTCTTGTGACAATCACAGGGGAGTAAGTCTAACTAATATAGTATCTAAAATACTGGCCTCAATAATACTTCGACGCTTAACGAAAGCTCGTGAAGAGCAAACTCGAGAAAACCAATCTGGTTTTCGACCTGGACGTGGATGTATAGACCACATTTTCACACTACGACAGGTCCTGGAACACAGACACACATTTAGGCGTCCTACAATAGTTGTTTTCCTGGACCTTAAGGCGGCATTTGACTCAGTGGATCGTGAGGTTCTGTGGCAGTGTCTGTCATTGAAAGGTGTACCAAATAAGTACATTAACCTCATACAAGCTCTCTACTCAAACACCACTGGTCGAGTGAGAGCTTATGGCGAACTGTCATCGGAATTCTGTACTTCAAGTGGTGTCCGTCAGGGCTGTCCACTTTCTCCATTCTTGTTTAATTTTATCATAGACATGCTCCTAGAAATAACCTTATCCTCGTCTGAATTTTCAGGAGTAGACCTTTTACCAGGTGGCTCGCTTATTGACTTAGAATATGCCGATGACATTGTCCTGCTTGGTGAAGACGCTGAAAAAATGCAGTGTCTTCTGACTACCCTAAGCAACAATGCAAGCATGTTCGGGATGCGGTTTTCCCCCTCGAAATGCAAAATGTTGCTTCAAGACTGGGTTACATCGGCATCTGAACTAGTGATAGGGAGTGAAGTAGTCGAACGTGTAGACCGCTTCACTTATCTTGGGAGTCTCATCAGTGCTGATGGCCTGGTGACTGACGAAATCTCGGCACGGATACAGAAGGCTCGATTGGCTTTTGCCAACCTGCGTCACTTATGGCGTAGGCGAGATATCCGTTTGCTGACTAAAGGACGAGTGTACTGCGCAGTGGTTCGCTCGGTCTTACTTTATGGCTGTGAAACATGGCCAATGAGAGTAGAAGATACTCGTCGGTTATTGGTTTTCGATCATAGATGTCTTCGAAGCATTGCTCGTATATCGTGGGACACTCGAGTGAGCAACGCTGTTATTAGGAAACGGGTACTAGGTAAGAATGGCAGATCAATAGATGAAGTGGTGAAACTTCATCAGTTGAGGTGGTTGGGACACGTGTTGCGTATGCCTAACCACCGACTGCCTCGTCGAGCTTTGTTTTGTAGTGTAGGACTAGGTTGGAAGAAAGCTAGGGGCGGCCAGACCAAAACATGGCATAAATCCATGAAGTCATTGACGAGTGGACTTAGCCATGTCGGTAATTGTCGACTACCTGGTTGGGGTCTGCAAGATGATAATAATCGATGGTTAGAGACCTTGAATGACATGGCTCAAAATCGTTCGCAATGGCGCCAGTGCATTTATTCTTTGTGTTCTCTCAAATCCTAATCTCCTGGGTTCTTCAACACCTCTAGTTTTTACTTTATAAACTTATCTCATTGAATCATACTTCTTGAATAATATCTTCTAATTCTAACCCCTCCGATTACTTCTAATACCTTTACTACCTCTTCTTCTATGTGATTTGAATTGACAATTATATCTCAGAGCTGATGTGGTATGGCGACATGAACTGATGTACTTACGTACGAAGTTCTACGTTGCAACTGACTGACTGAATGAGAGGTGTTGAAGAACCCAGAAGATTAGGATTTGAGAGAACACAAAGAATAAATGCACTGGCGCCATTGCGAACGATTTTGAGCCATGTCATTCAAGGTCTCTAGCCATCGATTATTATCATCTCGCGGACCCCAACCAGGTAGTCGACAATTACCAACATGGCTAAGTCCACTAGTCAATGACTTCATGGATTTCTGCCATGTTTTGGTCTGGCCGCCCCTAACTTTCTTCCAACCTAGTCCTACACTACAAAACAAAGCTCGACGAGGCAGTCGGTGGTTGGGCATACGCAACACATGTCCCAACCACCTCAACTGATGAAGTTTCACCACTTCATCTATTGATCTGCCATTCTTACCTAGTACCCGTTTCCAAATAACAGCGTTGCTCACTCGAGTGTCCCACGATATACGAGCAATGCTTCGAAGACATCTATGATCGAAAACCAATAACCGACGAGTATCTTCTACTCTCATTGGCCATGTTTCACAGCCATAAAGTAAGACCGAGCGAACCACTGGCTTGCCTTACATCAGCCTTAAATACCGGCTCTTCATTATATATGTTAATATCGTGTATTAATCTATATTGATGAGTACTTTGTGATACGCTCTTATTTCTCTTAAAGTGGGACAGTGATATTTTTTTAATTATGCTGAAATATTTAGCCACAAATTTATAAACGTGACTAACGCATTAAATTAATGTTGGCTAAAATCACTGTACGGTCTACATAGACAATAGTAAGTTCACTGTTATCTCTTGACACTATTAATATATAAAGACGATTTATTTTGCGTCAAACGTCTCATACTCAAACTATCAACCAATTTTAGTTCAATTCGTGATTAAAATAAATTTATCATGATTTAAAGTCCTGGAAACTGTTCAGTATGCTTCAAGAAGTGACAGTGCAAATGATAACAAGTTAACGATTCTGCAGATTTAAACAGACCGAATTACTCAATCGTTAATTAGGTCAACCATAGCAACATAATCTTCAAATTTATAGAGTTATGAACTGTTAGTAAAGAATTTCCTCTGTACAACCCTTTGAGTTCATGTGATCTGTTGTGTGAAACTATGCACTGTGGAAATAATTGTCTTAATGTGTACGTATGAAACATCAGACATTCGTCAATATTTATTGAACATCGTACTAAGCTTATGCAGTGATCAGCAACTTATTTTTATTTTTAATTGAGTGTTGTTCAAAAATCCGTATCATTCTATTTGTTGACTTGTAATTGACGTTCGCTATGTACTAGAATTGTTTCTTTGAAATTTTTTAGTAACAGTTAAGGTTTGTCGTTTAGTACTAATGTGAAATAACATCTAGAAAGACAGTGAAACTTGTTAAATGAACCAAGTCAAAATAGTTTTTATTCTGTTGGTTTTTTCGAACTTCTGTAAAAGATGCTAGCACGTGCAAAAACGTCAGTCAGTTACTTATAAATAATTTTTGGGACTGAGATAACTCAACAATAATACAATTTGCCAAAATGCACATGAATATATCAAGGAAACTTGATATGATGAAAATCAGAGGATTTGAAATGTTACTTTTAGTGATAATAAAATTAATTTAGGTAATATACTTCTAAACCTTAGTGAAATAGGAAAATAAGAAGAATGAGTTAGTATTCAAAGTCGGCATGTAGACAAAGATTACTAACGGATGGTTGTGTGCCACTGCTACCCATTATAAAATAATTCATCTAGCATTTCCAAACATCGACCGCATATATCACCCGGAATGCAATCAAGACGTCTAGATCTTATATAGCTCAAAAGAACAGTGAGTAACTTGATCAACCTCTGCTATTCCTCTTGGGACCAGTTGGTTTGCTAACCAGTATGATGTATTTGAGTGGACAGTTGCTGGTAAAGTGTGACATGTATTTCGACCATCTGAGACTATGAATATTTCGTGACTCAATTTCCATCTCTGCCTAATACCTTACACCTCACCTCAGAGTTATTTAATTAGTAGTTTCATAATATACAATTTATTTTACATTGAAATCGTGGGTGAGTCATTGTTACACCATCATTAGTAACTTGGATGCACAGTCGTTTCGTTTTAGAATTGGACTCATCAGCAGTGCCCATCCATGACTCCTACTGCTAGCAGGATTTGAACCCATTGGTTCTATTTGTTTGAACTAGCTCATCAACCTGCAGGTATTTAGTAGCTGGAGATCCCAACTTTTATTTATAAATCTGAAAGCTAATTTTTCATCTTACATCTTACGGTAAACTTTTGGATTGCTCGTTATGGTTCTTCATCTTATCCTTGTCTTCAGCTGTTGTATCACTATTAAACAATAAATATGGCTGAATCAACTGAGACTAGACTTAATCCTCTTAACAACAGGCCCTAGGTTTCGACAGGATTAGATAACACAACCACTGCCCTCTGGCCCAATAGTTCCTATTTGATTAAATTCATTTATGTATTTAGGGAAGGTGATCAGAAGCGTTACACGAAATTGAGAGGGAAATTAACCAAATAGCCGATGACATGTTTTGAACTGTTGTGTTAATACTGTTATATTACAATTCAAAAAAATTTCTAAATGTTATGTTTACTATATTTTGTTGTACGTATACGTTACTCTTGTAGGATGGTGTCCTACCAATTTTTGCATCCGATGATGACGATGACCTAGATGATTACGAAAACTTTTTCGATGTGGAAAATGTCGGTGATGAGTAAGTTCTAATTTCGATCCTTCATCTCTATTTTCTATAGTTAATCTTCTCATTTATCACCGAAATAAATTATTGTAGTAGCCAAATCTATAAAACATCGATATCATACTCAAAAAAGACTCAATATGTGGAGAACAGAATATCTTGATAGTTAGAATCAAGTATTGTTTTGAAATCGACGAGCAGTAGTTGAGACCCAGTTTATTTAAAGTAATTTTTCTTCAAGCGCTATTTTTGGATTTAAATGTTTTAGTCATTAAGAATACTTGTCCAAGTCTAGAAATCAGCCTTCATTTTTTGATATTCTAAAAGATTTTCTATTTAGATTCAGCATTTCATATTTTTCTTTTATAAGCCTTCACAAATTAAAATGATACAGCTTCCACTAACGTCCAGGCGTTAAAATTTGTTAAGATCTGAACGGTGTAATGCTTTTTTCGTTGTTCTAGCTTATTCAATTATTATCTGGAGGTGACTCAGTGACTGCGGCACTCAAATTTCAACTCATGAATCTCCAGTTCAAATCCTTTTTCACTTACATCGGTCCAAGCAACTAGGTAATATCGTAAGCGGTCACACGGAAATTCTATTTCAAAACTAAGTGTATAGGAAACTTGCGTTTCAACACTTCGATTTATTTTGGCTTATCAAGTTAAATGCTAGACATTCGTCGCTAATGACCTTCGCGTCGTGATATATATATCCAGTAGTTTCGAATGAGAAATAAAATATTTTCTTTGATGTTCGACTGATATGCCCTTTCATGATTAACCCTTTTGCTTGTTGATGTTTACATTTATGTTCAAAGTACTTTTTAACAGAGGTACTTGGTGATACAAAAAGCTATGTAATTATGATTTTTACATTCATTACAAAAATGTAACGACTTCTGCTGACATTATAAAAAATACGTTCGGGTGTCCTATTTGTTTACTTCATTAACTCTTTATATGTTGGTTCAATTATTGTACTTATCGCTTCTGATAGTAGTTAAAGTGACTTTTATTATTTCAAAAATGGTTTTACAAGGATTAGGTCATTACTTTAAAATCTTTCGGTTGTCAGATTACAGGTGTAAACCCAATCCACATCTTTTGATGTAAAAAGTACTTGTGTAATAATTATAGTTATTGTTTTCTAATAAGAACTGCATAAATTTATGAACAGCGAATCAAAATATTGTACATTCATTATCGAATTAGACTAAGCACTCATGAAAAATGTCGCTTTCATTTAAATGATTGTGCTATACTTTCTTCTGTTTTTGCATGCTTGTAGCCCGAACTTATCAGTCCAGTCTGGAAGATTTCCAAGGGAAGTTTTATCGTCAACAAACTCATTTCAAAGTATCGGCAGTCAATTAAGTGATGGCTCTTACTGCTCAATGACAATCCAAGTTCCAGCCAATGTGCTGGAGGAAATCGACAAGCTAACTGATTATGCTTTAGGTGAGTATCCATCAGGTGAATTACAAACGCATCCTAGTGAAAATGATATTGATCCAGGCATACAAGCTTATGCTAGATGTTTAGTATACATGCAAAAGGTAAGTATTTATCCAATTGTTTCGGTTGCTCGTTAGTTAAACTTTTAAACCATCCTTTTATAATCGATAATCCTTAAATGTATATGTACAATAGAACCTATTAATAACAATGCTGTATTCATTATTCTGTTTATACTTCCGTCATAGTGGATAATAACGTTTGACTTTTAGTGGCGTTGGATTCTTTAATCTGTATAATTTAATTTAGATAATATTTTTTTTCTTCAGAACTGGAAAGACCTTCCTCAATCACATTCATACCTCTAATATCGATTTGGTGGTCATTAAAAATAGTGTGTACCACTATCTCCGATTTGATTTGCATATTTCACAGGATTACTAGGAAACTTTTTCAATTACCTACGTGTATATCGTGTCATGGGTCAGTAGAATCACGTCTCCTCTCTGTCCCTCAATGCCATTTCAACTTGCATCGAATTAATTCGGTTACTTATTCATCTACTCAGAAGGAACAGCTTACACTTAATCACGAAACGTCACGACCATCAGTTGATCATATTTTGGTTCTTGTGGTGCATTGTAATATATTCTAAAATATATGTCGTAATAAGTTTGTTAGTTACGGTTCATGCGATTGGAAACAATTATAACTTCGAATAACACGACTACTAGTTTACTTTCTTTTACCACGTTCGTTGTGCATTCTTACTTAAGTTAAACAAGAACTGTGAGTAATATCATTTTAATATTCAGTTGACCCTAAATGAACACTGGTTTTTGAGACACCTTGGCGATTATTCAACACTCTGATTGATGAAAAGTCTTGATAATTTTTTACCTTTAACATCTATTATTAAAACCATCAGTTTTGGTAATTCATATGTAATTTTAAGTGTAACAGATAAACTTTTACGCAGTTTCAGAGTAATATTTGATTTTTTTTGCTAATATATAAACATAGTTTATCGATGTACACTTGTATAAGTTTTATTACTTAGGATCTTTTTGTTTCACATTTGTTATAGTATCGTTATTGCCCTGAATTCTTGTGGCGTTTAGCCCGTGCTACTTACATAGCCAGTGAAGGAGCACCATCAGATGAAGATGTGCAACAAGGTGGAAACGGATCATACGGCCACCACTCTTTAAATGACATCGCTTATAAAGTGAAAACACGTCGCCAGTTTATTGAGTCTGGGATAAAATATGCACGTCGAGCGCTAAGTCTTGTACAAAAAGTTCATCCATCACATTTGGACAACGATCCAACAAAACTAGCTCCAATATATAAATGGTTAGCTATTTTACTTGGTGTCTACTCATCTTACCTAAGTGCTCAACAAAGAATACAGTATGGTTATGAATTTAAGGCAAGTTATCTAAATGTACTATATTTACTTTATTTAGTTCTAATCGTATCGTTTGAAATTTCATATGGGAAAGAATTTGAATATTGAGAATATAAATAACAACTTAATGGACAAGTGACAAAAAATTAACCCAACTCAGTGATGACCATAAATACTAACGTGAATATGTATATCGTCAGAAGCTGACTAGAGATTTATGGGTTCAAGCACCCAGACTGGACCTATTAGGTGTTCTTTTCGGAACTCAATCCTACCAATGTTAGTTCCACCTGACAAATAGTATCACTAGGTCCTACATATCCGATGATATAAGCTATGTGATTGGTCGGTTACTTCAGCGAATTAGTATTAATGTAGAATTTTTTATTTCCGTGCGAGTAGGTTTGTGCGTATCTATTGACAGTAATCACTACATGTGTGCAAGTGTTTGTATAAAAAGCGTAGATTGTTTTCACATAATAATTGTTGTGCAACTACTCAGTTATAGTTTCCTCGTATATTCGTCCCCGGAAAATGCTAAATATATTAAATGTCCAAGCTTTTTCGTATGAGGAATTATCTTTAGGTATCGAGCAAATACAACCTGACCGTAGCTGCTACCTTCACGTGGTGGTTGGGTTTGCTCATCTTGATGACCCAACCGAGCTAAATTGGCTGCAGCGTACGTTCCTTTAGGTCTTAACATACCAGGCAGGTCGATTGGAGAACGATGAGACTAAAAGCAGCTACCCAAAGTCTGAGGGCGAAGTCGTACTGCTGACTGTAGAGGGGTGTGACAGAAGTAAGGTGTTTCCCTCGGATAACCAGCATCTGCAGCGACGCTGCCTTCTCACAAGGAAGGAAGGGTTAGAAAAGGTCGACCCTAAAAATGTCACACCTCACCCTACTTAACGGATTTCCGTCTCCGGCGGCAAGGGTGTCCACTAAGGGGTTTCAAGAGCGAAGCTAATGCTCAAAAAATCTTTAATAGAAGGCCGTACGTGACCGGCCTCAAGCAGTTGTCCCTTGGGCTCTGCGGTCACGTACCCAGGTCTCTAAGACCAACACTAATCTACCCTCCTTTTCAGGTTCTTTAGGAAACGTCCTTCGACGGTGTGGGGAGCTGGGAAGTGATATCCGCCCTCATACCCGTAACAGAACACAAGACCAAACTGGTTGCAATCAAATCCTTCCTACACCCCCTAACGTCTCTCTCACCTTCACGACTAACAGTTCTCGCATTCCTTTAGCATCCCGCACTGCTACTGCAAATGATCCGAGTTCACAAAACGTTCTTCCTGGTCTCCTGAAACCCCGTTCTTAACCACATGTTCGAGCTTTTAATATTCGAACCTTGTGTCAAATAGGGCAAGAGGCTTGCTTAACTAGTACTCTGGAATCATGTGCCATCGATCTATGCTGCGTCTCGGAAGTGCGCATACAAGATTCGAGTACAGTGATTAATTTGATTTCACCTTGTCTAGATAGAGAATCAACTCGATGTACTCTTGCTGTATCTGGAAGCCCTGCTGCTGCTTCCCGTGGCCTCGCTGGTGTAGGTATAGAATTAAGTCCTAGAGCAGAACTAGCTCTTTTAGACTGGATCCCAGTAGATAGTCACTTGTGCGCGCTGTACGACTAAACGGGACAGTAAGGACTCAAAAAGATAGGGACACTCGTCATTGCCTCTTCGTCGTATCTGCATACGCTCCCAGTAGCTGCAGCTCGGACGAGATAAAAGATGAGTTTTACAGAAAGCTTTCGTACCTCCTACAAAACGTTGGGCGCTCTGTTATAGAAATCGTGACTTCAGTGCTCAAATAGATAGACTAGGCGACACTGGGAGTCACCTGGGTGGATTTTATGGTGTCGTGGCAAAAGATTAGACAATGGCGACCGTCTGCTGCAGTTATGATCGGATAAGCGCCTATTCCTAGCAAATACCAACTCTAAGCTCAAGGAAAAACATCTTTCGACATGGCGACACTAAGAGTAGTCCCAACGCTAGACACAACTAGATCATATCGCTATTAGCACTGATGAAGAGATTCGATAGATGACTGTCAGTCGTTCTGGGGCACATGTCTAGATTCAGACCATGGTCTAGTGTGATCGCGTATTTGTTTGAAGCTTACTAGAAGTAGGAGAGACACCGAAAGAAAACTTCTCAACGTTCTACTTAACAATAGCACAGAATATATTTCAGGAACAACTAGAAAAGCAGTTACGCGGCTATGTGGGTGATTCCTACCCCGAGGCAGCTTGGAACGATATCCAAGTCTGTGGAAACAGCAATAATATCTGCTAGTAAGGTAAATCATAAGGTTAAGAAGAAGCCGTGGATCTCAGTAGCATCTACCGAACTGATAGACGCTCGGAAACTCATCCTGCCTGGCTCTGAACATGACGAAGAGCGAAGTCAGCTTAAGTGCAGGCTGATAAAAACCCTACGCAATGATTGCGAACAGTGGAGGGTAGCGAAAGCATGAGCGATGGAAAAGATAGCAATGTTAATTAACAATAGACAACTGTTCCGCCTTATCGAGGAGACTGGTTCTGGGAATGCATCTGTTAGCGAAACCATCTCAGAAAAGAATGGTCGTACCATTCATTTGTAACCCAGTAGATTGGATCGATGGTTAGAACACTTCAGGGATCGGTTCAACTGGCCTTCAGCGACACTTCGGTTGCTCACGATCTCCAGTCAACCTGAGTGCAAGTCGATGCAAATTCTCCGAATCTGAAGCGAAGGAGGGTAGCAGGGCTCAACGGGATTACCCCCGAGATTTTTTAGGACGATGGTCCTGTCTTAGCAGCTAGGTTGAATGAGATCTTAGGTAGAATTTCGGGACTGGACGTAATCCCACCAGACTGGTCTCAGCCACTGATTGTTCCAGTCTACGAGAAAGGAAAAATGTCCTCATGTGACAATCACAGAGGAATCAGTTTAACTAAGATAGTTCTAGTGGGATATAGATGCAATTAAAGCATGACTACGTTGCCGCGCGCTGATTGGCTAATTTCCTACCCAATCAGCGCCTGATCGATTCTTGGAGAACAGGGTAGAAAATTCTCGTGTTGTTAGCTTCATGCTGATTGGCTAAATCTAATCCAGTCGATCACGTGAATTACAATCCAGCAGCTTCTCATGAAAATACTATAAAGAATCTAACGTTGTATCTATTTCGCCTTCGTATTTCCATTTAACCTTGCTATTTGGAATATAACCTTTTCCTGTTCATCCGTGTTTTTGATTCTTTGGAACTTGTCCAGTGTATTGTGGTCAGAGAATACTAAGCAATAGGAATCAGGCTGGAATTATTTAAGCAAGCGTTACAACAGATAGTATCTAAAATATTGGCCTCATTAATACTCCGATGCCTAACTAGAGCTCGTGAAGAGCAGACCCGATGAAACCAGGCTGATTTCAGACCTGGAAGTAGATGTATAGACCAGATATCTACACTATAACAGGTCCTAGAACGTAGATACTCGTTTCCAACGCCCCGCAATAGTAGGTAGGGAGTGAAGCGGTTGACTGCTTTACTTATCTCGGGAGTCTCACTAGTGCTGATGGCCTGGTGACTGACGAAATCTCAACACGTATACAGAAAACTCGATTGGCTTTACAGCTGGACTAAGTCATGTTGGTAGGTATACACTACCTGGTTTGGGTCCGCGAGACGAAAGTAGCCGATAGTTGGAGACCTTGGCTCAAAATCGTTCGTAATGGCGCAGGTGCATACACTCGTTGTATCCTTTTAAATTCTAATCTTCTGAATTCGTCATCACTTCTACCTTTCTCTTTCGAAATTTATTTCACTGAATTATACTTCTTGAATAATATCTACAAACCTTAATTTTTTCCTTTACCACTAATACTTCTACGATCTCTAGCACTATGGGATTTGAACTGATAATTGCGTCTCTTTGCTAATGTGGTATGGCAACCTGAACTTATGTACGTACGTACGAAGTTCTACATTTTAACTGACTGATGCAAATACAAGCAATACAATTATCATACTTTTACTTGGTTCATTTTTAAGAAACGTAAAAATCCGTTACTTCTCAATCCTTGATGGGGTTGTACAACCTGATGAATAAATCACTTATACCAGCTTCGGCCATTGACTAAACTTGTTCGGTTGAAGTGCAGTCTTTCTATAGGTGATCTGATTTGATCTTACACGTTTGTAGTCTTTTCTAAACCGTTATTATTAATTTCAGATACTGTACTTTAACACTTATGTGGAAATCGTTTCTTAAAATTTTTTATAGGAATTAATTGATACCGCTATCAAACTTGACCCTTCTGATGCCCTATCCCATTATCTACAAGGTCGATGGTGTTATGAGGTATGTAACTTGCTGCCACTGATTCTGTTGCTCATAATAACTGGTTGAAATCCTCTTTCGTACAATCGATAACAGCACAAATCATTTTGAACAAATTGAATTACTAAATAATAGCCTCCCAAGTTTCATATTTTCTTTCGTTTCTTCTAAACATTACCTATATTATATACGAAATAATAAATCACTACTCCTTCTTTAGGCTTGACTACTCCATAAGCGGTAAAACTTCTCGTTCTTTAACATTTTCTTAGGATATTGCATGTACTTAGCTCCTATATAAGTTAGTATGGAAAACTTATCCTTTCCCTAAAAATCTAGATAATATATTTCTTCAATAGAATGTCCATCCCGCTATTAGCACATACAGGGACGGTCAGTCATTGTACTGACCCATTCTCCTAACTGCTTTTGTTTATCATTTAAATCCTAGGTGTATAACATTTCATGGATTGAACGCCAAATTGCATCAAGGTTATTTGGCAAGCCCCCGACATCTACCATTGAAGAAGCCGAGATAGCATTTGAAAAAGTAAGCAAGTAGATTTAAGAGATCTAGTTTACTATATTTCAGCGTTCAACTTTAGATTAATAAAGTTATTTTATTTCTTTGACTAAACAGGCTGAGAAGCTGCGCCCGGATCACTACGCTGCACTTTATTTGTATCAAGCGAAATGTTCCATATGTTATTCCGATTACAAAACCGTACAGCGTAAATTAGACAAAGCTCGATGTTTATTAGCTCAACCTAGATATCCTATGCCTCATACGGATACTGGTTCTGTACAACAAGAGGTAGATCAACTGTACGCTAAATACTCTGGATACTCGTGAAAACCATGTATATAAACAAACAATTACTACTTTAACTTATAATTTTAATTCTCATCACCTACTTTAGTTGTACATTATTTATAGCAGAAACATTTTGCGATATATACATAGTGTAAAGAATTACATGTGATTAAGATATTCGTTTATAAATTTTAGCTTTCTTGGCTTTCTTATCAGAAACACCGAATGGCTTATAACGCTTTTGGCCAGGAATTTCCCGAATTCTCTTGGATTTAACATTCAAATCCACCTTGGGGATAACTGATAGTCCACATGTTTTTGCTGTTGCAGCCAAGTCTAGTTCATCTACATTAAAACAGCTTAAACCAGACGAAGCATAAGCACGTACTATACCTTTGAAAGCCTCCTGAGCAGAAAGGGCAAGAAAGTAGTTGTTTTTGACTAATTTCTCCAAAGCTGGTTGCACGTCCGCCATTTTTGAATTGGCTATTTCATACTCCACAACTTTAACTCTAGCTTTCCTTAAAATTGATAGGAACTCTAATTCATGAGGTCTGAGTACCAACAACGCATTTCCAGTACTACCTGCCCGAGCTGTACGGCCAACTCGATGTATATATTCTTTGGCATCATCGGGTGGATCATATTGTAAAATCCAGTCAACCTATTAAGAGTAATTCAGTAAACAATACAACTTATTATTCAAGAAAATGTCAAGCAATAGATAACTTTCATTTAGAGGGTTCAAGGATGACAGAATCATTTATTAACCATTTACTATTTTATCATACAAGCACAAATCTGTTTACACGAAACCGAATAGGCTACAATGCTGTTTGGTGAAAACAGTTACGAGTTTGGCTTACGTAAAGAAACGTAGGTGTAAGTTCAGCTCTGGGTACTCAGGTAGTGTTACGAGCCCTAAATCACTTTTAATAATTGGGGAAAGCAACGCACATAGGTTCAATCTTGTTGTATTTTGGAGGCACGTGTTTTTTTATTTGCGCTGCTATAGTACGAAGCTTAGTTAGGATAGCATTATCTACGTATCTGCAAGAAATCCAAAAAACAAAGCTAGCTGGCATTCACCGTATGAATAACGTTATGGAAGACGAAGTCTTCAAGTGTTGTTAAACAGAATGAAGGACTTCGTGGACGCCCAACTTCGAGATCAACAGGCTGGATTTCGTAAGAATCGATCGTGTACCGACATTACGGATCATTGTGGAACAATCAATTGAATGGAACTCATAACTCTACATTAACTTCATTAACTATGAGGAAGCATTTGATAGCATGTACAGGACAATACTATGGAGGCTTTTTCGACTCCACGGTGTGCCTGAAAAGATAGTCAACATCATACGGAATTCTTAGAATGGATTAAACTGCCAAATTGTGCACGGAGGACAGCTGACAGACTCATTTGAGATGAAGACCGGTGTCAAGCAAGGTTGCTTACTCTCACGCTTTATTTTTGTGATAGACTGGATTATGAAGGCTTCAATATCTGGAGGGAAGCACGGTATACAGTGGACAGCCAGGATGCAGCTGAACGACCTGGTTTTTCTATCGCACAAGCAACAACAAATGTAAGAGAAGACGATCAGTGTAGCGTCAGCCTCAGCAGCAACTGGTCTGAACCATACATAAAGGGAAAAGCAAGATTTTCCGATACAACGCGACATGCACAAACCATACCACTCTTGATGGAGATGCTTTGGAGAACGTGAAAACATTTACATATCTGGGTAGCATCATCGACGAGCGAGATGGATCTGATGCAGATGTGAAGGCGCGGACCGGCAAAGCATTTCCACAATTGAAGAACATCTGGAACTCCAAAAAGCTATCAACCAACACCAAAATCAGGATCTTCAATACAAATGTCAAGATAGCTCAACTGTATGGGGCGAAAACTTGAGAAACTACAAAGGTCACCATTCAGAAGATTCGAGTAATTATTAACGGTTGTCTACGCAAAATACTTCCAGTCTAGAATAAATTTAGTCATTACTGACACCTATCATGAAGCATGATAAACTTGTAAGCTACTTAAAAACAGTAAATTTGCCTAATTTTCAAAAGCCTATTGATGATGTTCTTGATCCTGACTACTTACATATCTAATAGCCAATGAGGTATGCAAAATTCAAGGTCATTATCCTTGTCGCATAGGCTTAGCAGTATAGTCAAGTTTATCCCATTATTCCAGTGAGATACCGAGAACTCACCTGATATATTAGTGCATGTTTATTATGCTTCTAATAAAAGGGAACCATATCTTTGACGTCTCAAACTAATGTCTACGGTCTAGTTTTCCTCAACATATGTTCACACATTCCGCTAAAATGTTCAAGACAAAAGTGGACCAGTGATGTTTTCTTATGTTAATCTACACCTTCATAAAATTACAATCTATGTGCAACAAAAGATGAGTTTTACTTCCGAATAAATAGCCGACTACGTCCGAAAGATATAATGTCTGGGAACTCCAGCATCATTTTAACGTGATGGTTGGGAATTAAGGCCTAATAGCCAGGTGGAAAATTAGTAACTCACACACTAATTTTCTTTAGCTACCTATGAAAGATATGTTTTTTTTGTATTTAGGCATGTTACTTTAGAATAATGTAGAGACCTATTCGTCTGGCTTGTGACCTTATCTCTGATACCTAGTCTTTAGTTGATAGTAGTTCAGTCAGTTACAACGTAGAACTTCATACGCACATACATAAGTTCATGTTTCCATACCACATTAGCACAGACAGGCAATCGTCAGTTCAAATACGATGATGGTGGTAGAGATCGGTAATAGTAGAGTCTCATGGGTAGCCATCATTCGACCGCATCGTACCAATACATTTATCTATCAATCAGTATCCCACTCATCGACTTTAAGAACCGAAAATCTGCACACTAAATCATTAAAAACATCTTCCATGACACTTAACATCAAACGACTGGAACCAAAGTAATCGAAACAGTAATGTCTACAATATCAGAAGTTTAAGCATAGAGAATGTAGTTTTGGGAATCAATCACCAGTGACATTCAATATTTACAATTACCTGGACAAATGTAATATGACTGACCACTTCCTTTTGATGGAAAGACGACTACTGTACTTACAGCATAGACAGTACAGCTTAGTGCAGTGCGACTATGAACTTTGCGTCTGCAGATTGTGTAAGCTACCAACCAAAGTTGATATAGAATATATGGCGCAATGGTCAGCGTGCTCAAATAATTTGCCTTCGACACTTATACTAGGTACTGATACAGCTCCTTCGAAACAATACTTTTAAAACATTTTGTGAGATCTGATAACATCTGCTCAACACAGTGAATTCATGTAACAGCTTACTAGAAGTTGTGAGATCTAAGGTTTTTGGTCCTTATTACGTTGGTTAACTCATGCTGTTTTTGATGACAAACTGTCGTGATACCTTTGTAGTTGTACTGATAGATATTTTTGTAATACTGTTAATTTAACAAACGAAGGAAACCAATTTAAAACCTACCTTCGGTATATCTAAGCCACGTGCTCCTACATCAGTGCATAAAAGAACAGCAGATTCAGCTTTTACAAACTGAAGAAACGTGCTTGTCCTTTTAGCTTGTTTTTGTCGCCCATGTATGGCTAGGACAGGAGTATCCACAAAGTTCAGCAACTCGTAGTAAAATTTGACCTCCATACACGAAGCCATAAAAACCATAATCTGAAATGTATAAAGAAGCTCATGAGTTGGTGACTACTGAATGAGGTAACTGTGAATATGAAAATAATTTGACCTCAATTGGAATCGACATATAATTGATGTCAAATAACGTTGTATTACATTCGTGGATATATCTAATTGATTCGCACTTATTGCTTACAATACAATTACAGTAAAAAAGTGTTATCACTTCTATGGGAAGAAGTTGATTCTTAGGACTGTCAGTACCCCAGTAACTTAGACCTTGAATCGATGTTAGAACAAAGTAAGGATACTAATAAACATAAGGTACCTACAAATTTAAGTATGCGCTGAGTGAGAACGAAACGATCAATTATACTTCTTAACTACGAGTGGTCTGTTTACGGTAACCACCTACTTATAGTTGACAACAAGATCATGAATCCGAGTTGTATTTCATCAGGGCGATCGGCCCTAAGACTTGAAGTTGAAACCATGACTGAAATTTGAAAAAAAACAGCTTGGGGCAGTAGTACTCTTCAGTGTATGACACTAATTGGAATCGAATGCTAATCTGCTTGGATTACACATTATGGAACAGACGTGTTTTGAAAACTCGAGCAAAGATAATGGCTCTAATAAGCAAAACGCAAGCAAGTTCAGCTACTTGGGAGCGAATAACCTTTGTTAGTTAAGCATGTAGAGACGATGCGATGATAACTGTTAGAGACATACAAATCGAGTCTCGTAATATAGAGACAACCCTGCCATCTTCAAAAATGTTAAAAGACGTTAATCTAAACGACAAAATCTCAAGTGAATAAGCCTATTAATTAGACCACAATAAATCTCTGGATAAAAATAAAACTCATTACGAGATACTATACCGAAAGCCAAATATGAACTAACAATACGAGCTCAGTCATGTTCGTAAAAGTATATAAACTATAAGGGATTTCCCCAAGTATAACGTATTTGGCTGTTGTTTACAACTATTGCTCCATACTGAGTGACTGTAATGAAGTTTGATGATGATAAACACATAGAGTCAATATAAGAAATCACACGAAAGAATGGCTAATTGTTACATGTAACAAAAGGCGAATCTTAGATCCCTAGTCTTAAACATACACAATTACCTTTTTACTTCTGTTTTTCTTTAGGAAAGTATACAGTAGGCAAAAACGCCTATCAGGAGGGCAAACTACATAACCTTGTTCCAAACCCTCAACTGTTGCTTCATTATCCGGAACTGATCCAACCATAACACAGGAGGCTTTAAGTGCAGCGTTAGCTAAATTTTTGGTTTTTTCATTTAAGGTAGCAGAAAACAGCATTGTTTGACGCACCGTCGGGAGAAGTTTTATAATTTGTCGCATTTCCACTTCAAAACCTATGTCCAACAAACGGTCAGCTTCATCGATTACAAGTGCTTTGAGGTTATGACGGAGGAAGAATTTTGTGTTTGACAAATGATCAAGCAATCTTCCTGGCGTTGCAACGAGGATCGTTACACCCTTTTCAAGATTTTGGGCTTCCGTTTGTCGGTTGCTGCCACCCATGATTAAACCAATACGTAAATTAGTGAATTGGATTAGTTCCTATTTATAAAAAATGCTGAGCAAAATGCAAGTGCTTACTCCTAGCACACCATAAGTCTGAAGGCTAAGTTCACGAGTAGGTGAAATGATGATAGCACCAGTACCATTTCGAGGCTGTAGACCCAAATTTAACATCAGTTCAACAACAGGTATTAAGAAGGCTAGTGTTTTACCACTCCCAGTCTTAGCGCATGCCATTAAGTCCCTGTGCTCAAGCAGCTGTGGAATGCACTTATCTTGGATATCAGTCATATGTGTGAAGCCCATTTCTTTGATAGCACGCTTAATAGGCTCCGATATTGGTAAGTCCTCGAATTTTCCAGACAATGAGATACTCGTTCCAGGCTGCGACTCGTCGGGACAATGCGACACCACATCTTCAATGTTACCTTGTTCTTCAGTGTTCTTCTGTCGTATTTTCTTGAGTTTTTTCTTCAGCTTTTTTGTGGGCGAGAATTCCCTCATCATGCGGCGATAGGATTAAGTAAGGCGCGCATCAGTGTGACCTTGCATTCAGCTAGGTCTAAGAAAGTTTTTTCTCATCTGTGCCTAAAATATAGAGCTATATCGAAAATTGGTATAGAGGCTTAGATCATGTGTATCAAATGTCGTTATTCACAACATTTTGGAAAGAGTTTCATTTTGAATCCGTAATTATTCAAGCTCCATATTGACCGGCTTCAGTATTTTGTACCAATGGATCACAGATGCCTCCAGGTAGGAATGCAGATGTGCTTAACCGGAGGCGGAAAATTATTAGGGAATTATAATGGTATAGTCTCCTAAGACTGGGGGGTTATTCGAGTAAACGTACAGTAAGGCATACGCAGCGACCTGAATGCGAGGCGGTGTGTACCTCGTTAGCCTGCAATCTGATCCGAAGTTAGGGGCGGCATAGTCTGCTGATCTGGACGTGATCCAGAGTCTCATCCGTAGACAGTGCAGATGATGCATGCAGTTGACTGGGACGTGACAATGAGGTCTCTGATTTGTCTAGCGTGGGATCCGAAGTAACTCTAATGATCCCGTTAGTAGGTTTGATAGGTCTAGCATTGGGTTTAGGATTGGAAAGTAGGGCACTAGCACCGACGTGTGCTGTCTTGGAACGATCAGTGCTGCTGATCTCGACGCGTCCATGTCGAGCAACCTTGAAGGTCTTTTCATAGCTAGAAATGACGTGAAAAGATCCTTCCTAAGGCTGTTGCAAAGGTTTGCGTACCGGATCGACTCGTATGAAAACATACAAACATGTAGACAACTCTCGAGAGAGGGTGACCTGTCGATTTTGTATTCCAGTTGACACTGGAGGCATTGCTCGCATAAATTCAGAAATCCTTGGACGTAATCTGGTTTACTGAAGATATCACTGCTCCGTGGTGTGAAAAATTCCCCAGGCAGACGCAATATCGTGCTGTACACAAATTCAGCTCGTTCTGATACCTAAGAGGACGAGCAGTAAGGTCTTGTACCAATTGTTGTTTCTGTGTGCTCGACGATCACTCTTAAGTTGGCGGTGAAACCGTTCAACTAAACCATTTGAGTCTGAGAGGTAGGCGGTAGTGCGTATGCGATCTTTACCAAGCAGCCGGGTTGTGACAGTCGGGGGTCAACCGTACAGCGCTATCCACCGTTCTATGAAGTGCTGTGAGCAACTGTCTTCGCCTTAATGGAAGTGATGGCAATAGCTTGGGCCATCTTGTGAAACGATCGCTGCACTTGAGTATGTGATCATACCCGTGCGATGATAGCAATGGTCCCACAATTTCAATATGAACATGTTCGAAGCGAGCATCAGGCGTAGCAAATGTGCCGATAGGGGTGGCCATGTGCCTGTGTACTTTTGATCGTTGACATTGTAAGCATTGCTTTACCTACATACGGGTATCTTTATTCATGGAATGCCAGACGTATCGTGCAGCGATGAGACGTAAGGTGGCTGCTATGCCTGGATAAGACAATCCAAGAGGGGCTTCGAAGACGAGACGACGGTGAGCAGAGGGCACATTGGATCGGGATAAACCAGTAGAGTTGTCACACAGGATAGTACCTGAGGTGGTAGCTAGTGGTAATTCCTGGCACTGAAGGGATGTAGATTGTTGTGCTTCTATACAGGAAGAATCATTTACTTAGGCAGCAGCCATAGCCGGCAGATCAGGCACCGGTAAGGTGACTGCATTCACTTGGAGCAGAGCATCGGCAACACAGTTCGACTCGCCGTTAATATGACGAAGGTCTGTCGTGAACTGAGAGATGTAATCCAAATATCTGCACTCTCGTGGTGAGTAACGGTCAGACTTGGTATGCAGAGCATACGTTAGAGGCTTTTGGTCGGTACAGAGGACAAAGTTACGAACTTCTACTGCGAGGCGAAAATGTTTGATGGCACAGTAGGCTGCTTGCAATTCGCGACCGTATGCGCTATATCTCTTCTCCGTGGAAGTAAGGCGTCGTGATAAAAATTCGAAAAGCTGCCAACTTCCAGAGATATTCTGTTGCATAACGGCTCCTATAGTGAAATCCAATGCACCAACCGCCAAACTATGCGTGGCTTAGCTAAAGCTTTTTTATCTCTAAAAATGCAGCACGCGTTGCGTCGTTCAATTCTAACTTACGTGGATTACCTCAAAGTAAGTCGCTTAATGGTCGTAACTGTTCTGCCGCGTGAGGAATAAAGCGTCGGTTCCTCGTAAAAGTATACTGCTGCAAGTCTCACACTGGGGTGAAGCGGACGTGCAATGAATCCAGTCTCTGGAGACCTGAATTATCTTTCTGAAATGAGTTTCAAGCTTGTTCGTACTTGTTTATTCGCGATATAGTCAGTAAAGTATTGAGTTCCGTAGACAGGTTTCCATGTAGTATCCATACCGTGATATCAGTCAATACGCAGGTTCATTATAAACTCTAAGTTGATTTGAATATTCTTTGAGTGCTTCTTAACAATAAGTGACTATGAAAGAGGGTGACTTCGATTCATAAGTGCAACTCCCGACAATGTTTTATAGACTTTTGCTAATCGACAGCTGGCTGCTGAAACCTATTTTCATTGTCAGAGTGACTGAAATATCCTTTGATTTTAGTTTTGAATAGCACCAGTTAAAGGATAATCAACTTTATTGCTCCTGACTACTCCTGAGCCCAGAGTGCTTACTGGCTTTTATGCATTAGCCCAGTTTACGGATACTGAAAGTATTATGTTCTCTATTGTCAATTCGACGGCTGTTTTCGAATGGAGATGTACCCACTCGTTGAATACTCTGTAAAAGTCATAACCGTTACTTCTAATATGTCCTGATTATTTATAAACTTATCTTTGTAGTGTGATGACACCTCTCTTTTATCTCCTTGATTGGTATGAAGAAACAGCTATAGATTGTTGTATAGATTCGCGGTAACTGCTTTATTTCAGTTAAAGTGGCAAACAGTCTTGTTGTAGAAACTTAGTTGTAAATTAAACTGAGTTCTTACGAATTCAAACCGTTTACGATGAACGACATTCTCGTCAAAGTGTTTGTATTTGCATATACAGTCACTAAATTTCAGAAAAATATTTGAAATTCTAAATAAAAACACTATCTCTTGTTAAACATTAGTTACCAACGTTTCTAGATATAATCTGGAAAATTTTTGAAATCCAGTGAGTTCAGAGAGATTGCAATGTTCCTGTATATTTATCTATTTTCAGAGTCCACCTTCAAACTTGCAATTAACTGAAAACTAAGACTTCAAGTCTTGTGGAGAGTGCAGTATATGAATTAACTGTCGAATCAGTATCTTTATAAGTATACATCTACAAGACGGACATTTTTTCGATAATACCATTCTATAGGTTGTATTGAATAATACATTAAAAGTTGTAAAGGGGAAAAATTAAGCTTTTTGATCTCTGAGTGGATTATTATGAGACCATATGAGCTGAAGAAGATGAGTCACATGTAATGATGGGGCGAAATGTAATTTTTTAATTGACGATAACTTTCATTATGTTTTTATTTGTGAGTGATGCATAGTTAGTAAAAATGTATATAATAGATAAACGTTAGTAAATTGTTGTGCATGTAAATCCTGTTTCTTTTCCAAGAATTTACCTGTTCTGTAACATTAACTGAATATTTTCGAGTTAAGAATATTACAAACGAAGTTAATGTTGTATTATATGCACTGTAAACTACATTTCCAGGTAAGTAATACAATCTTGGTCTATTCATTTGTTAAGTCTTGTGCAGAATGTTTTATAAATACTCCAGGTTCGTATAAAGATCTTATTGAAAAGCGTTGGTAGAATTTATAAAATGGTTCTTCAATATGAGTCATACTTGACTTTTATTAAATTTAATTATTATTTTAGTGAGTGATGAGATGATAAACTCGTTGATTGACCTTCAAAACCTTTTCTATACTATTAAGAGTAAGTGAAACTGGAATAATGAATTTTGAATCAGTTGAATTTATTGATACTCTTGATGATAATTAATCTAGATAATTAAGTTTTTGAAGTAAATCTCTGATGTTAATTGTGATATGACATTATTTAAAATTAGGAAAAAATAATTTTCCAGTTATTTGACGAAGAATAAGCAAACATCAAACTTTAGTGGAAATGGTCGATAAGTTTTTTTTTTGAATAAACTGAATCCGCTTTTCATGTTTTTGTTATTACCGATGCTGAATTGTGTGATTTAAGGTTGGGAATTTTATTCGATTTAAATACTTGAAGGAGAATTTGGTTAACTGAATGATACAGAATTGCTACAGTAGCGAGAAGTAAATAAACATTAGTTGTTTTGTGATGCTCATTGAAATTCGTAACTAATGATCTGTTCTTTTATAACCAATACTCTGATACACATATAAATCTGTCTGATAAGGTTAGCTTGGATAATGTAATTAACCATAATGATAGTAATTCAGTAAACATGAGTCTTCGATATGTTGAGTGTTAATAGAGTCAGAAAAATAACTGAATTTAAGCATTTATATACAACTGGGATAAAACAACATACTATTCTGTATGTTCTTTACTGAAAGCTGTTATCATTAGAATTTTATCTTTTTTTTTCTACCTCTGCGTGCTAATATACTTACAGGAAAAGTATATTATTATTATTACTATTATTATCATCATAAGAAATGGCTTTTTTGCGAGCCATAAAATAATAAATATTGAACGAGTAAAGCGTGTACATCATAATAATATTTATTTTATTTATCAAAGATAATTTACTCATTTATGAAATAAATTCATTACTTTTATATTTTGTATATTTTCTATGTATTTATTTGTATTCAACATAAATGATCAAATAATTTAAACCAAACACTGACAAATAAAATGAGTAACTCTCAAGTAAATCAAATTATTCTTTCATTTGATATATTTTTATTTCTTTTTAATTCACAAACTAAATAAAAATGTATACAAATGGAAAAAAATAATTGAGTGATAATCTACTTATTCTACTACCATAATT